ATAGAATTCCTGACTATGGAATACATTCCCAGAATTATTAACAAACATATAAAATGCACCAATTTGTCTTTACTGGGCCAGGACTGGGAATGTCTTTCCAAGAGGAGACTCTGCATATAGTTAGGGGCACTTAGTGGAATTAATGGTGAGCCCACCTCAAGCTGCTTCATTAGTAGAAACCTTGACAGGGAGCAAGGCTAGAAGGGACACAGAGTTTATATACTGACTATTCTGGATAAGCTGATTTATGAGAATATGGGAGGTGGCTTTGAAGGACTCCTTGAAACTTGTGAGCCATAACAATAATGGTGAAGCCTTGAGAGAAAGTAAAGTTATAAATGGAATTGATCAAGAACAAAACTTTGGTAAAATCTGGCTTAAGGGTATCTGGAAGGTAAGAGACAGAAAAAGAGAAGTAGAACGGTCAAAAAAAGCAGAAGAGCAGACTAGAGTGGTGACATAAGAGAGTATTTCCAGGATAGTGACCCATGGTATTAATACCTTAAAGAAGCTGAAGAGCAAGAGAAATGAAGAAGCAAGTGAAAATAGTCACTGTATCCACCATGGCCTATAGGGTGTGTGGTGGGCTCATGGTATCAGTCTCATTCATGGCATTTTTCTGAGTTTTTGAAATCAGTTTTCCTAAAAGTCATAGTGTGCATTGCAAAATCATACTCTAGGTTTCATTCCAACTATCCATGTGCTAACTGTAGTCAACTTTCTGAAGAACTATCTGCCTTTGAACAATTCAAGGGTTTGTTGAGTACCAACATTTGCCTCTCTTTGATTTTCCATCCCTCCTCTGCTCAAAGGCAGTGGTATCCCTCTGATTTCTCCTCAGGACCTTTTTTTTTTTATCTCGGTAGGTAGTCTTCCAAGTTCTGAAAGAATGTTTTCCAATCACTCTCCTCTGATTAAAACATACCTATCCTGTGCCCTGTAGGCCTGTAAACCAACATTTATTCAGCATCTAAGGTGAATGGATTTGAAGGTAAAGGTCTATGGTTTGTCCTTAGGAGACGTTCACAATAGTGAGTGACACGTTCATAAATAAGTGTCATATAAGGCAGAGTGATGTTCTCTGAGAGCAGAAAAACAGAAGTGATTTAATTCCTAGAACAAAAAATTTATTCTGCTAAAGCCAATCTGATAAACTTATTTGAGCTGATAAACTTATTTGATGGCTGAAAAGTCAAGGTGAGGATGACATTTACCTTTAACTAGTCTTTTTAGTTTTAATCTAAGGTACTAAATAAACTGATAATGAGGGAATTATACTGAAGGGAATTTTTGGTTAAGGGCAACTTGTCTAGAATTTCTTTAACAAATCAATTTCTTTGGTGGCCATAGGGCTAGTGTTTTGTTTTGTTTTTAACATAAGGCTAGTTTTTTTTTCTTATTTGTGAGTCCATGCTATCCTTAATTTCATTTCTTTACCATTTCTTCTTGCTTCCCCTGCTTGTGGTTATGAGCTCAGAGTAGATGTTTAAATCAGATGTGCTGTAATCACCTGAGTTTGCCTAAATTTCTTATCAATTGCTCTTCTTGTCAATTATTATTTTCTGTTGTTTGTGCCCTTTGTTCTTTGGCCTTTGTAAGGCCAAGATGCCTTAACATTCCCCTCAGCCTGACTAAACTTCAGACAGGCTTTTTCCTGACCCAAGGCCTCTGACCTCCTTTCCTTAGAGCATTTACTTTAGAAAACTTTTCATTGTAAATTCTTTGTCTGCCCCATTGCGAAGTATTCTCCCAGCCTCTTGCCAGTTTTACAGCCCAGGAATATCTTTCTTAAGGACACGGAGCCAAACCTTTGAAATGCAATCATTGAAGGAGATCTCTGATTCTCTTTTGGAGGGTAGAAGCCTAACTTTCTAATTGGGACAATTAGCAAACACAATTGACCACCTTCCCCACTACTAATCTTCAGGACTTTTGCAATAGCTCACCCCAGTACTTAAAAACTCTTCCAGGGGGGCGCCTGGGTGGCTCAGTAGTTAAGCATCTGCCTTTGGCTCAGGTCCTGGGATAGAGCCCCGCATCGGGCTCCCTGTTCTGCGGGAAGCCTGCTTCTCCCTCTCTCACTCCCCGTTTGTGTTTCCTCTCTCGCTGTGTCTCTCTCTGTCAAATAAATAAAATCTTAAAAAAAATAAATAAAAACTCTTCTAGGGAGTTGAGTTCAATCTCTTTTCTCCTGCAGTAGGTCCTGACTGCATTGCAATAATCTTGAATAAAGTCTTCCCTGCCTTAACTCCTTCATGTGCAATTTTTCTTTGGCATTTGTAATTTCCAAAACAAAGACTCTCCTTGGCACTTTCTTTTGCTGTTTAAAAAAATTATTTCTAGAAAATACTTAGCTGACCGGATTTACAATTTCTTCTTTCCTTTTTATCTCCCTCACAGATTCCTGGGGGATCTTACTTTCCAAGGCCTGATGTCAGTCTTCCCTGATAACAGTTTCCTTGTCTTTGTGTGTGTGTGTGTGTGTGTGTGTGTGTGTGTGTCTTGCTGATAGAGCTGCTGGGGTAACCCATATATTTTTCAACTATTTAACACATTCTCAAGGAGATCACCTCTCTCTTTTGTATGACAGCCTACCTATCAACATCAATTCTTCCTTTGAAATCAGCCAGTTGTCTTATCTGGCAGAATCCCACTTCCTGTGGACATATCCTACTTAGTGTCAATCTAAATAGGATGCTCATGAAAGCATTGTTAAGGTAAGATGTGTTTTCCCGTTTTTGGTCAACATCTGAGTCTATTATTTAGCATACCCTAGGAAGAAAGACACACATTTGTGTGGCTTAACTCTTCTGATCACTAATCAGAAGAACTCATAAAATGATTCAATAAAGTGCATGACATCCCGGAGAAGTTTCTATGAGAAGATAAAGTTACCACCTGAGAAATGAATGCACAATTTTCCTATGTCTCTCTCATTTGAAAAATTTAGAGCTTTTCTGTTTCTGTGGCTATAAAACTTATGTCAATCATCCTTTGACATTTGTGACATCCGTATTTGTCTGTGCCAAGGACTGCACCAGGTTTAGAAGGAACTGGGACAGTGTACTTAAATTTGGATAAGTATTTACAAAATCATGAAATAAGCACACTTTTATAATTCTTGCAGTGTGTTGGCTGATACATCTTTAATGTAACAATGATAAATTCAAAGATTTCCCCCCCAGACTTTACTGCTTTGTTATGTTAAATATTAATATATTTTTCTTTTTCTGACAAAGCACTGGCCCATGATGAATGGGGCTCCTGACTTTCAGTCTAAGAATCTATGGTATGGGAGGACACCTGTGCTGGCCTGCATTTTGTGGAGATAGGAAGAGGTAATTAGGTTCCTTCCTTGGTTACATTTGTATCAACAAAGGGCAAAAATTCCAGGTGGCTAGCCATGCCAGAAGTGAAGATATAGGACCAAACATGGCTGAGGAAATTGGAAGGTCATGGCTGCAACTCTCTCAGGCACTATAGACAGGTCTCTGAAAGTGGAAAAAGCAAGGAGCATGATTGAGATTCCTCACATCAATTTCAATTTTCTTTCCTTTTTGTTAGTTCTAACGCTGTCTTGGTGCCTCCAGATTATTGGGAAATGATAAAGAAAAATATGAATCTTATTATCTGGGGCTTTCCTTTATCTGCTCCCAACCCTCATTCTTGCCAAATCAGTTCCAGTCTTCAGCAGAAACCTAATTTTGTCTACTGCCTTGTCAGAGAGAAAGGCTTACAACTCACTTCTGCTCATCCTTATTCCTTATGCAAGGAAGTAGAGATAAAAAGACAATAAGAGAAGTGTATTTTTTTCTTTATAACATTGAATTTGAGATGTATGCCCCCCACCACAAGTTCTTCTTCTTTATGAATAAGAAACAATGGTTTGTGGGGCACCTGGGTGGCTCAGTTGGTTAAGTGTCACACTCTTGATTTCAGCTCAGTTCATGATCTCAGGGTCGTGAGACTGAGCCCCAAGTTGGGCTCTGCACTGAGCGTGGAGCCTGCTTAAGTTTCTCTCTCCCTCTCCCTCTGCCCCACCACCCCTGCTGGTGCATGCTCTATTTCTCTCTTTAAAAAAAAAAAAAGAAAGAAAGAAACTATGGTCTGTAATGGAGACACTACCAGCCAATTACTTACATGGCAACCAGGCGTTTACATAAATCAATAACCTTTATTTAATGGATTCTCCACTGAGCTAAGTATAGTTTTGATTTGGTTTCCCTCATGTAGCAGGTTACCTCTAAGCTCTTTTTTAAGATTTATTTATTTATTTTACAGAGAGAGCATGTGTGTGAGTAGCGGGGAGGGGCAGAGGGAGAAGGAGAGTTTCAAGCTGTCTCCCCATCTAGTGTGGAACCTGACTCTGGGCTCAGTCCTAGGACCCTAAGATCATGACCTGAGCTGAAACCAAGAGTCCGATGCTTAACTGACTGAGTCATACAGCCGCCCCACCTCCAAACTCTTTTTATTTTCCTTTTCACTTTTTAGGAACTGGTTTGTGGGACAGATTCTTCCCCTTTCCATAAAGTCCAAATGACAGTATACAGTTTGCTCTGGTGATCATGCCTGATTCTTCTTTCCCATAGGAACATATGATGTCATTTTGCAGTTAAAACATTCAATAATTCATTTCACAAACTTTTATCTAGTGCCTATAATATGCCAGACACAGCGATATTGTGGGGACATGAACACAGATTTTAAAATTTAGTGGACCATATTTGTGCCAACACTAAATAGTGTTTATCAAGTGTCCATTTGGCTCTGCGAAACTTTTTCTTTCATAGAAAATATACAGTCTAGTAACAAATTATGATGATTCGCTAATTTCACTCTTACCTAATAGGAAGCAAAATTGCCCAAATGTACATTTTATACAAGGGATTTAGGATTTTAAGGAAAAGCACAAATGTCATAAGGGTTAAGTGGTTATTTCCAGTTTTTCCATGAGTATTCAATGGAAACGATAGGGTGTTCCTTAAAAGTTCTATACTTACTCATCTCTGCAAACAGCTGTCTTCTTTCTGCCATGGTATTTCCTCTTTTCCCACTATCTTCAATCATTCTAGGAGACAAAATGGTTACAGTGTTATTACCCTCATGCTATTGAGGCAAAAGAGCCATTTCTATGTAAACACACTTGCTGTAGTTATGTCACAGAGACAAACTATTTAAAACTGTGTATTTAAGAAGTGTAGCTTTACTTTCACTAATTTAAATCACCATACATATTTTTCCATACACAGTGTTGTTGTAATTGTTAGAGGAGGTATAAAATTTTTATTTTCTAACATAAAAATAACTACAATGGCAGATGACCTTGTGCCAAACTGAATTCAACCATCCACCATCTGTTAGGTGGTTCATTTCCCATATAGTTTCTCTTTCAATTTGGGGAATACCTATGAAGAATATAGAGCAGATATTACAGATTCCATTCAAGAAATGATGATATTGAGAATCTCATGAGATTTAGTAAATTTAATGGTGAAAACATTTGGACTCCAAGACCAGTTTGCCTTCCACCATATTCTTCTGCAAGTTGTCCCTGTGCACCCCAAACCCTAGTTTGGATGCAGGTTATTTTCTAAATATTGATCTTTAAGTTGAGTGTTTGGAACCTGCAACGGTTTTTCTATGCATAATAATTTCATGCAAGGTGGTTAGGTTCACACCTCTCTGCTTAACTATACTCCTGTCTGCAGTAATCATTTAAAAGTGCTATGAAAATGCCAACAGATAAAACAGAGAGTCAAAAAGTGTTTAAAAAATTAAAATTTGACTTGAGGAGAAAGAAGATAATGAGAAAGTTAATGGAAATGTTCTTTAGCTCAAGAGAGGAATTTGGGGTAAATATTAAGGGTTTTATAGGTTGATGGAGTTGATTTTTTATTGTATCTAATTAAACTTTTGAAAAACTAAAGTTTCCTCTCTCATACATGCAAATACATGTACACATATACCACCATGTTCTGATTCTCAGGGGGCAGTAAACAGAAGGCATAGCTGATCTTTTTGCCTGTCTTTCAATGGACCCTGCTCTTTCTCAAATATGGTTTTCTGTCTATGCTATTTTTTTGGCCCAGATTCCCTGCTCCCTATGCCTGGCTAATTTGCAATAACCTTTCAGCTCTTAGTTTAGGTGGATCTTCCTCTGAAATCCTCCCTAATTCTATAATTGTCTGGGTTTGGTGCCTTTCCTCTGAGCCTCCACAGCCCACTATCCCTTTTTCTCAATGCTGAAAATTCACTTAACAAATCTTTATTGAGTGCCTTCTATACTCCAGGAACCAAATTAAGTTCTAGGTATACAACAATGATCAAGTCACAGTTCCTACCCCCAAGGTGCTTATACTCTAGTCAGGGAGATACAAAAGTACAGAAGCAATGAAACCACAAGAAAGTAATTATAGCCATAGCAGTGGAAAGATATGTGAGTGTGAGAGACATTGACTACCTGGGGGTAAATTTAACAGAACTGGGTTGCAGAAGACAGGTCAAAAGAGAATAGAGCTGTGTACAGAATAACTCACCTAAGGGTAAAAGAAAATATTGGTGAAAACCAATGTGATGCCAGTTATTCTGGTCAAAGAGCCTCACCAGTTGTTTCTATGAGTGAGGGATGATTTGCCTACTGACAGGAAGGGAAAGAAGGGCATGGAACAGCCTTGGTTTACAGAGTTTAGGGAAGAGTGTGTTCCCATTCATGATGGGTGATGATGTACCCAGGGTCTGGCCTAAATAATAACTGGAAAAGAATAGGGTTATTAATGAAGTGTCTTCAATTTGGTAACAATTCAGTGCTGAACACAGTCAAGTACTTTCTTTTTATGATTTTAAATATGCAGGTATGGTTGGTATATAGAGATCACACCCTTCCTGAGTCACAGAACCCCATCTCCTTTATTCCAGAGGAAGTGGGTAGATAATAATCTGACATTCACAAAATAGTCTGGATACAGCTTCCAATTTTTATTTCAAGAGCTTAGAAGTCGTGTTGAAGCAATAGAGAGATAGAGGATAGAACCAGTGATATGTTCCTGCATCTGTCTGTATGTTGGAATGAGATGAAAAGAACTGTTAAAAATAAATCACAAAGGATGGCAGTCTGGAAAGCTCTGATTGAAAATGTCAGGGAAGGAAAGACTGGCCTCCAAACCCACAGTGCTTACTGCCTGTACCCCTCAATTGGTACCGTTTGTGATATCTCTTTTCTAGTTAACTTTTTGTGTGTTTCTCTGTAAGGTTTTTGAGGGTGGTGACTTCAAACATTTTAAATTCTTCACAGTGCCTAGCAATCCAATCAGTAAATGATATGTCCAGTTAGTATTTATTGAAAAAAAATGAATGAAACAAAAAAAAATAGAGGAAAGAACAGTAAGAGCTAAGTTTGCTCTCCATGAAATGGACTTTTAATGATATTTCCCAAAACTGATTCACAGAAGAGTTCAATTCAGATTGCACTAGTTTCAGAAATTATTTGAAATGAAGGAGACTAATTTTTATCTCTTATAATCTAGGACCATACATTTTAAAGCAAAATCTTGTCTTATGAAACAGAAGCTAAAATAGATGCAAACTACATTGATGTCACCGTTCGGTCTATTCATCATCATTTTGTGATTAATTAACTCATGAAAGAACCATAATTAGTTATATAACAGGAATTAATTCTCACTTCTAAGTAAAATGTGTACCTTATAAGGACAAGAAGGAAAAACTCAGTCATGTGAAATAATAGAAAGCATGGAATTTAATTATAAATATAAAAGGAAAACAACACATTTCTCATTTCACCACTAAAGTTTCCTGGGAAGCAGCACTATTAGATAAAATTGAGAATACACATTTATTACCCATTGATCACAGTCATAATAGTAAAAAGGGAAGGCATGTTAGTTTACTGATTACATGGATTCAACAGAGGGACTGATGGACAGAGTCTATTCATGAATCGAACTGGCAAGGAGCACCACCATGGGCCCCTTAGTTTCCAATTTAACTCTGATCAGTGGGACTTGATATACATAATGCTTGACTTTCTTCTTAGCAAGAATGAAGAGCAAAACTTTCAGTAGGGGAAGGTAGGAGGGTTTTTGCAGAGAGCAATTTTGCTTCTGAAATTGTCACGAAGCTCTGCTTTTCATGAATTTCAGTATTACAACAGCTGCCCAAAGTCATATTGAGGAGATGAAGGGGAAAATAACCCATCTTTGAGATACTAATGTCACAAGGTGTGTGGCTCACCAACAGGCCTAATTTGGTGAGTTTCAGTTACTCCTTCATGTAGACAAGATGCTTGCAACCTTAGAATTTACCAGATTGCATAAATGTCAAAATAGCAAAAGGAACTAACAGGTGATGAATAAGTGATGAGCTCCATTAAGTCATTTCCTTTACTAGGGTTCAGTCCCATGAATTATACAGGGTGTGCATTGTTTTCACTTATGAGAATCTATCCATTTCATTTACTTAAGAAATATTTATAAGGTAGCTATAATTTGTCAGATACTCTGCTAGTTTCTCAAGATCCAAAGATGAATAAGACATGATCCTTGCTTTTAAGAAGCTCACAGTTTAGAAGGAGAAACAAATTATTCCAAATGAGAATTGTATTTGGTGTAATATGTACAATAATAAAAATACATACTAAATATAGTAATCTACTTCTGGGAAATCTGAGGGACGCATCGAAGGGTGACTCTGGAACAGAGTTTATAGGACAAACAAGAATCTTCCAGATGGAAATGAGTGGAGGAAATGGTAATCAGAGTTAGAGGTAATCATGGAAAAAACATGGAGCTTTAACAAGAATATATGGGAACTGGGAATAATTCAGTATTGCTGAGTGCAAGTGTGAGCAGAGACGCCAGAACAGGCATCAGATCTAGAAGGTCTATTCTCACATCTGGACAGTGTAGGGCTTTCCAGAAGATCAGATGCCACCGTGGTTAAGTAGGAAACTGATGTGTACAGATTTAGGTTTTGGCAAGGAGGTTCCAGCATACTGAGTGGAGGGAAGCCCGGGCAGGTGGGAGGGTAGGGATGGGAGCACATGATTAAGGGAAGAGTCCAGTTTGCTGGAAATTTCTGTGATTCAGGAGCAAGAATATTATGTCTTACGCTAAAGGATTGTTTTGAGATACAGGGCACGCAATGGGACTTGGTGATTTGCGGTCTCCGTGAAGAATGGTGGAGGAGGGCAACTCAGTCTTTGCTCTCCCACACCACGTCACACACTGGAGAAAGCAATCTGCTGCAGTAACGACTTCATAGAAAGTGAGCTCATCAAGTCACCTTGTTCCAGCATCGTCATGAAAAGGGGGCCACAAAATTGGACAGAGGCTCCCGCTCTCTGCCACTATTTGTGGGGGACAGGCTAAATAACAGAGTAGAAGAGTGAGGGAACCAGCAAGAAATAGAGAATAAATCAAAATACAGGGCACAGAGTGTTAGAAGAAATGTGAATTGTATTTTGGCACAGTGAGAATAAGTTCACATTGAAATATCACATTCTTGAGTTACTTCCTTCATGACACTTCTTTAATCCAACATCACCCATACTAAACACACATTTCTATGCCACATGACATAAGAAGTTTTAAACGTACAATCTTAAACTGATGCTGTCTTACATTTGTATAACTTTCTGAAGATTATAAAATGCTTCTCCCATATAACCTTGTGAAGAATTTGGGGAGATATTATTATTCCCCAGTTACAGCTGAAGAACTTGAGACTCAGGCAGGTAAAAAAATATTTCCCAAAAAACACACTTTCTGGAAGGGGAGACATTTAATCCATTTTTTTTTTGGCTTTTAATTTTTAAATTCCTAGGCTGGGATGAATTCTAATCACCAGTAATCTTACTCCAGCTGCCACTGTTCAATACAAATTAAGATTTCCTGAAACTAGTAAGTGAAAAGAAGTTGCTAGAGCTTGGTGATTGACAGGCCAAAAGGAGGCGGAGGGGAAGGGTCCACAGCTCTCTCAAACTGCTGGAGAGATTCCTTCGTGTGCTCCTCCCTAACGGAATCCTCCTATTCTAAAACAGTGTTTTATTGG